ACTGATATGGTCCGTGTTTCAGACCCCTGGATTGACGTACAGTAACATATCCTCTGATCGGTGCTGGTTGCCCTTTCCCTCCCCTCCCCTCCTCTCTCTCTTTTTCTGACGGCGCTGGAGTATGCTCCTGTGTTTCTGCTGCAGGTGTTGTCGGTTGGGCCAGCGGTGTGTTTTTGTCCCTGCAACCCTATCTCGCAACCCCGAGAATTTTGTGTGTTTTGTACTCCTTCGATGTTTATTTAAGTTGACATTTTCTCTGGGTACTTGAGTTTCACTCCCCTTGCCGTGCTGTGGTGCGTTATTTTTTCTGCTTTTTTTAATTGTCTTTTTTTCATTGAGGTATGGTCCTGTGTGACACGGTGCATTGTTTGTTGAGGAAGGTAACGTCGTCGGCACGAGTTTATTCATAAAGTAAGGCTCAATGTCTCTGTTTGACGACGATAGCTTTAGCTCTTCGTCTTCGTCTGGTGGATTGCGAGGTGGAGAGGGATCTTGCAGGGATAATGATCAGGAACTAACTGTTTCTTTACCGATGGGTGCATGCGGAAAGAATGGGATACCTGCGTCGGCCATGCCGATTAAAAATGGTGGAGTGTCGCGCTTTACTCTGACTGCTGAGGAGAACAAGCAGGCTGAGGAGCGAAGGCGTATGCAGGCCGGCAGTCGCTCGATGCTGCGCAGTGAGGTGGCAGCAGCTTCGAGTAGTGGTGGTGTCGGGTCAGGACAGGAGCCGAGCCGATTTCAAGCCTCCATTGCCGAGGCGCTGCAGCTGCGTAAGGATGCTCGCGAGGTGGTGCTCTTGCGAAGAATACAAAAGCAGAGGCGTGAAGAAGCAAGTAACTCAGAGCTTGTGGAGAAGGATCTTGAGGTTGGTGTATTTGTCACGCCACAATATATGGCGGCGTTGAAGCGGCAGAACAATCGGCAATGCGCAACACTATCGAAAGCGCCTAGCGTCATCGAGGACGGTGGTGATGCCGCTGATCCACTCGAGGCGTACGTCCGGCAGCTTGAAGAAAAGCGGTCGGCTGTTGCTGTGCATTCCTCGTCGACAGCGACAGATGTACTCCATGACGACTGTTCTAATAATGACGACACGGGATTGAGGACGCACATGGCGCGGAAGGTCCCGTGTGACAGCAGCAGGTGTGGCGCGGCGTCAGAGGAGACTCAGCATGTTGGCACACAAGCGGAGCCATCCACATTGATACCAATGCCAATCACCCCCGTGCCATATGCTGACAATTGCAAGGTTGAACATGTTGACAACAGGACGGGGCAGTCAGTGTCGCTACCGGCCGCGCCACACAACGCGGCGCGCCTCGACGAGGTTATCCATGAGGCGAGGGAGAGTCGCAAACGTCGTCGCGCTGATCGTCTCTTCATGGAGACAGCCGCCAAAAGATTCAATGAGCGTGCCTTGGAACGTGTGGAGGCAAGGTGACCGAGTGGGAGCCTGAACGACTTTGTTTTTATCTTGTGCTTGGTTTGCTGGCTTTAAGTCGTGTTGCTTAACCTGTGATTCTTGTTTTGCTGCGTTCATTTCTCACTTGTTTTGCTTTGTTTTGTTTCGTGTTGTATCCCTCTAGTGTAGGAAACTAATTGCAGTTGGACTCTGCGAC